ACCAAATATTGTGAAATGGAATCCACAACAACAATTCTTGTGTCGGCTTTAAGCACACAATTTGTGGTTTTCGTTCAGTTGAAGTTTACTTGTTGTTTGCAGCGGTCGAAAGCGGAAGAAAGTCGTCGTACGCTTTTCACTAAATAATTTGCATTATAAAGGTGCTTTTGTTGTTTAATTAAAAATAATTTGTTTATAACTTAGTTTGAACGATACATAAATACACTTACTTATCGTAAAAAAAAGATAATATACTAAACGCGAAAAGTCGAGAAAAAATACAACGCGACAAAAACAAAAGGTACAACACAAGAAATTAAATTAGTGAATGTGAGTGTTTCTGCTGCTTTTATTTTTGGTTTGTTTTTATTTTTGTGTCACTTAAATATTTACTTTGCACCTTGAAAAAGTGAAAAAATAATAAGACATTTACTAATATTGAATATATTCCAAGTCGTAATAATTTTTTTTTTTTAATAAAAAGGTTTGAACTTTCACTGCTGGATGCTTTATATTTTTTTTTAGATGAAAATTTTTAGTTTATCTTTACTGCGTGACTCATAAAACGTTCGGACACACATTAAGATTTACTCATCAGACTTTTTCTTATTTACTTTTTTTTTTGTTAAGTTAAGTAAATTCATTTCCACATAATTTTTTATTCTAATTGCTTTTATTTTGTTTTCTAAGATTTTATTCATAAAAAGATTACTCAGTTTGTTATTATTTCGCAATAAAGAAAAATATTTAAATTATCTTGAATTGTGATAATTTTTTAGTAATTGTTTTATTTTACAATGTTAATGTTAACGAAGTTTTTCTTCTCGAGAAAATGCGGTTTCCATTCAAGTTTTCACTACGGGAAGTTTTGTGCTTCATTTAAAAAAATGCGTCTGATTTTGTGGATACTGTATGGCTTCAATACGTTCAACTAGATTTGTTTATTCCACAGGTGGTCAATTTGTTCAATGACTTCTACAAGTGTGGAATTAATCCAAAAAATTCAAAAATTCATTAAAAATTGCGGCTTTTTCAAAGTTGTGAATAAAAAGTATTTTATTTTATATATTTTAAAATAAATATAATATACATATTTATTAAATATTTATATAATATATATTACTATATATATAATAATAATTATATATATTTAATGATAATTATATATATATAATAATAATTATATGTATATGTAAAAATAATATTTATTATTATTATCATATTTTTATTATATATATTTATTATATATTTTTATATATATTATTATATATATGATAATAATTAAATATATATGATAATAATTATACAGTCAAAGTTCGATAACTCGAATTTTCTACAACTCAAACTAAAAAGAGTGCAACAGGGTTTTAGAGAACAAATTACTTACAATTCTGCTTCCTTAACTCGAACTTCTTTAACTCGAATTTCTTCATAACTCGAATAAAAATATTGTCACGTGCCAATTGGAATATGTGAAAGTGCATTCTATAAGTCAAATTTTGTTTTAAGTATGAATCCATTCTGGTGTTAGGGAAAGTTTCTTTTTCCAAACCAATGAAATTGTACATGAGTCTTTCAAGAATGAAGTAGAAGACTTATTCAAAATTTTAATTTTTTATTTTTAAACGTATGATACTACAACTTATAATACCATAAGGCTTGAAATAAATTAGAATCTTTTTTAATTGAAAATGAGGAAAAAAATTAAAATCTCAAACACTAATTTCTGAATATTTTCACTATAATTTCTGTTTGAAGTCTCCATAGGTCGAACCTTTTCTTTGCAAAATGGTATCTCGAGTTATGAAAGTTAGACCGTATATTAATATTATTATATTATTTATATTATATATATATATATATATTATATATTTGTTATATATTTATAAATATATATTTATATTTACATACAATTTTATATTTAATTGATCAAATAAAAATACTTATTTTTTTTATCAGTAAAGCATGTCTAATACTTAACAGCAAAAAAATTAATACACACTTGTCAATTGTTGTTGTCTAAAATTAAATCTAAAAATTACAAATTATAAAAATCACTACAAAATGCTGCAATTAGACAGCATTTAAATTCCATGAAAATAAAATGCTACATCAATTTAAATAAAAATAATTGATTTCAGAAAAATAAAAAACTATATTGAAAAAGTTATATTTTATTCAAAATATTTAGTTAAAAATTTATTTATTTAGTTTAAAATAAAAAAAAAATATTTATTGCATCAAAAATTCAATTCACGTTTCTATTGAAACAAAAGTTTCTATCAAGAAAATAATTTCTTTCCTCATAACTAACGTTAAAAATCCATTTTAATATAAATAATTTCTATATTTACATAATATTAATAAGATTTAGTAATGATAATTATTAAATATAAACAAATTATTTACTGCATAAATAATTCATTTTACTTACAAAAAACTCTCTATTAAAACAATAGTTTCTATTAAGAAAATAGAAACTATAGAAAAATAGAATTTTATTGATAATTAATATAAATAATTCCTATATATAATATTAATAAGTTTTAGTAATGATAATAAATAATTCATTTCATCATTTCTGACCTTAAATTCAATTTAAATTATTAATTTAATAACTCAATAGTTTCATTTAACATTTTTTTTGATTTCAAAAAATTTTTATTATTATTATGCCGATTTAATTAACTTCTCTTTATTAGTTAAAAACATCAGCGAAATGAGTTAAATAGATGAGTATGAAATTAGTAAAAAATTTCATGAAGGTCTGTTTCACTTATATTTTTTGTTATAAAACAGAAAACTTGTGTCAATAATTTTAAAATATTTTTGTAGAGAATTTCTCATTAATATTCAAGTCTACATCATATTCAAAGTAGAATAATTTACGCTGAAATACTTGGAAGGTATTACAGAGATTTTATTTGACTAAACTCTGGTCTCAATGAACATTCTTACTGAATATATAATTTTTCTAAAGCCCCAATATTATATTTATCATTATTTGAAACATCTTAATTCATTTAAGTCATACACCTTTCTTGAATAAACAAAATTTCAATATAACCGAAACCTTGAAACTCTTCTAGCAGACATTACTATGAAGAACTATATTACTATGCAAAAATGATAGTTCTATCTTATCCTAAATGAACACTTAATAAATAGACTATTTTTGTATTCATTATTATATCCAATAACTTCACTCTTTTAGGATCTTATACCGTTAATGAACGAACCAAAGTTGGTCCACAATTAATTTAAAAGAGTACTCACTTTATTTGAAACTTATAAACTCTCCTAACAAACAGTTTTATTGAATTAAATATACCAACTTTCGAAATTTTTTTTATTTTATTTAATAAACTTTTATTTATTATTATTTCCAACAATTTAACTATTACCGTTCATCCAACGTGAATGAACAAAAGTTGATTAACAATGAGTATTCGCGTAAAAGAGTTTTCGCTATATTCGAAACTTATAAAATCAATTAACGGATAGTTCTATTGAACTTTATTGAACTCTAAATAGACAATTTTTCTAAAACCAAATCTTTTTTTTTTTGTATTTATCATTATTTGGAGCAACTAAATTAACCCCTTTTAGCTCGTACTTCCCTAAAGAACGAAAATTTGACTCACAATGAGTGTTCGCTTAAAAGAATTTTCACGGTATTCGAAAATTTTGAAATGTCTAAACGGATAGAACTAGTAGAGGTGTTCGTTTACTAGATCTATTCATTAAGATATTTCAAAATCTTCGAATGGAATGCACAATGTTTCTAAAACCAAATTTTATTTTTGGTTACTATTGGTTATTGATGAGGGAGTGATAACCGTTAAGAGAGTTTTCACTGTATTCGAATATTATAACAGTTGAAATTTCATATTATATGCTTTTTATAAAAAAATATTTTTTATTCACATATTTTGTTTTATTTTTCATTTTTTTTTTTTTTTTGAGCATTAATTTTTTTTGACTATAAGCACTTTTTACTTTAACTACCGCGACTCTTCATATTATCTTTATTATTATTTTTTATAAAGTATATATGCTTACATTCGCAAGTATAAATTTCAGAAAATGTAAAGTTTATTAAAAATTAAATAAAAATATCTACAAGCACCAATGTCAATAAATATTAACGTCACTAAATAAAGTAACTTAGAATTTTTTAATTTTTGATCAATAAATTTATTTTTTTCAAGCTTATTATTTCATTAATAATATTCCTTTCTAGAGTAATTTTTTAAGTTTTAGATATATATGTATAGTAGACTCAACAAATCAGTTCTAAAG